GGAAGTAAAGGAAGCAACAACAGGAATGGAAGAAGGATGGAGTGTTGGAAGTCAGGACTCAAAGATGATGTGCAAATAGAGCGCTCAATGTAATGTTTTCGTTTTTAATTGGCTAAGAGTGTAAATTTGCGTAGTTCACTCTTCCGCGCCTGCCTCAGCTTTCTCAATAGACATTAGAGAATCTTTTACAGATGATCGTTATAAAAAAATAGTGTATATTTTCACATATTAAGGAATTATTAAAACTGAAAGTAAACAACGATTTATGATGGATACATCAATGAGTGTACAAGAATTGGAATTATACCACATAGAGAAATAAAACCGTTTCAAGGTGTTTAACAGTTATTTATCCATAGAACTTGATGAATGAGATTGTGCAATATATTGGATTGACTGGAATTTTAGATATTACCACTGGTGGTAATATCTAAAATTTCAGTCAATCCAAGATATTGCACAATCTCATTCATCAAGATCGATGGATAACTAACTGTCAAACACCTTGAAACGGTTTTATTTCTCTCCGGTATTATTTCAATTCTTGTACACTCATTGATATATCCATCATAAATCGTTGTTCATTTTCAATTTTAATAATTCCTTAATATGTGAAAATATAAACTATTTTTTTTATAACGATCATCTGTAAAAGATTCTCTAATGTCCATTGAGAAGACTGAGGCAGGCGCGGAAGATTGTACTATGCTAATTTACACTCTTAGTCAATTAAAAACGAAAACATTACATTGAGCACTCTATTTGCACACCATTTTTGAGTCGTGACTTCCAACGCTCCGTCCTTCGTCCATTCCTGCTGTTGCTTCCTTTACTTCCTGTTGCTACTCCATTTACTTCTTGCTTTTGCTCCATTTGCTTTCTGTTTTCCTCTTCTGACCGTGCGACTTCTTCTTCCACGTCCCTTCTTATACTACTTATATCGTTCGTATAAGTAGCACACACCACACTATGACCATAGTATTCAAAAAAAATAATTCGCAACTACTTCATCTACCTAGAACTCCCTCCACCTACGGGGCCCTTCTACGGTTACTGCCAGTCTCAAGCCCATCATATAAAGGAGTAGGGTTCGGCATACAGTTGTTAGTGACCTCATCCTGTTGAAAACTAACTCGCTTAAAAAAAAAACGCTACCTTGACTAGATCACATGAACACACAGCATAGTTCACAGATGAATTTGCACATAATTTGCACACACTTCACATCACATTGATTTCCTTGAATCGAGAAAGTGTACAGTGAGTGATATAGGAAAGTGAATAGATATGTGAATTTATTCTACACAAAAAAAAAACGGAATAGTGTTTACATTGTACCAAACAAACTATTAATAGTAAGTACATCATCAGTTCATTTGACTGTAAAGTTTTTTTCTCTAGTGACAATGTTTAACAGTTGTTAAGAAAATATCAATTTGTTGTTGTTGTTGTTGTCGTTTTTTTCTCGATAACAGAAAAAAACTTTGGTTTATTTTCCTTTCAACGAGGGAAACAATGAATTCACAGTTGTGATCTTGTTGAAATAGTTTGAATAATAATAATAATAATAATAAATTTTGAAACATTTTGTTTTTAAACAAAATTCAATGTGAATATAATTGGAGAAGATATTAAATCAGTCAGTCAAGTCAGTCAGTTACAATAAAGAACTTCATACGTACGTACGTACGTTAGTTCAGGTTGTCATACTGCATCAGTACAGAGACGTCACTGTCACTTTGTAGTGTGTCGAATTAATGCATGTTCTTAAGCTCGGTAATTAACTCGTTCAGACAATCGTTACGAAATAGCGTCTGACGATTTATAAATCAGAAGATGAATTCGTAGTGATGAATACGTTTATTCAGAACACACCACAAAGCGAAGCGGAGAAGCAGCGAATAAAACGAAGGAAGCGAATGGATAGGCGAAGCGCGTTGGAGAAGGCAAAGATCCAAATCAAAGAGATAGAACATGACTAAGAATATATAGTCAAACAAAAGTAAGACAGACATATGACAAGCGAAATAGGCGTGCACACACATGAATAAAAGCGACGAATGATTGACAAGGTCAAATGACAAGTGGGACACGTCATGTGAGCTCATACAAACCAGACAATAATAAGAACGAATGGTACATATAAATTGTTGCAATACAAATGGCTTGTTTAAATAAATTAATCGAAAGGGCTTAACCAAGTTAGATGTAAGCGAACTGGAATAGATGTGGAGACACTACAAGTTCAAATCCAATAGTGGTAGAGATAGTAGAAGTATTAGCAGTAATGAAAAAGATTACGGTTGAATGATATTATTCAGCAAGTATAATTCAATGATACAGATTTATGAAGAGAAAAATAAAGATGATGAGTAATCCTGAAGATTAGAATTTGAGAGAACACAAAGAGTGGATGCACCTGCGCCTTTACAAACACTTCTGAGCCATGTTGTTCAAGGTCTCAAGGTCTCGTCTAGCGGACCCAAACCAGGTAGCCTACACTTACCAACATGACTCAATCCAGTTGTCAGTGACTTCATGGACTTGGACCATGTTTTGGTTTGGCTGCCTCTAACTTTCTTCCAACCTACTCCTACACCAAAAAACATCGCTCTTCGAAGCAATCGGTGGTTAGCCATACGTAACACATGTCCCCACCACCTCAACTGATGAAGTTTCAATACTTTATATATTGATCTGCTATCCCTGCCTAGTACTCATTTTCTAACTATAGCATAGCTTAGTCGTTTGTCCCAGGATATACCAGCAATTGCTCAATGGAAAAACATAGTTATTCAAGTGAAAACAACTACACTGATGCCTTCGTTAAATCAAATCACTGTTTATAATTACATCTTGAAGATATCAAACGATTTTTCTGTTTATTTTTCAAGCTATTTACTCCGATTGCATTGAATCAATCTTATCGGTTAGTGTTGACAATTGGTTGTTTATTCCTAACACATTTGCTCGTATTTCCTCTGTCTCATATTCCACGTAAAATGCTTTCGTATGTAAATATGTTCTTCTTTCAATAACAGGCAAAGTATTCAACAAGGTGGTGTTAAACAGAATCAAGGACTTCGTAGACGCTCAATTTCGAAATCAACAGTCTAGATTTCGTAAGGATCGATCGTATTCTGACTGATTCGCCATGTTATGGATCATCGAGTAACAATCAGTCGAATGGAAATCACCACTCTACATCAACTTCACTGACTACGAGAAAACATTCGATAGCGTGGACAGGACAATACTACGAAAGCTTTTACGATACTACGCGAAATACTTCGGATCCTTCGGCCAGACACCATCAGCAGATAAAACAAATCAGACTCCAGCAGAGTAAGAAATCAGGACAAACTTTTGGAAGTGGATAGGACACACATTACGGAAAGCCTTCAACTACGCCATAAGACAAGACCTCACTTGTAACCCTCCAGATCAAAGGAAAAGCGAAGGCCAATAAACGCATTACTTTGAGAAATGGAGACAGACATTAGAAGAATGAATAAAAACTGGAACTGAAAAGGAAGGCCAAGGACAGAGTAGGTTATAGAATGTTGGTCACGGCCTGTGTTTTATTAGGAGTAACAGGCTTAAGTAAAGTAAATAAGCATGTAAAATATGTGGCAGACTGTTTGTTTGGAATGTGTTACACAAAAGTATCACAGCCTTCAGAGTTTTTTTCGCATTAAAACTTCAATATTATTAACAATGATGTTAGTAAAATAAGCTGAATATATGTATTATGAAGGCATTCAAAAGCTTTTTAATTATCAAAATAACAAAAGTAATTTAAAATTTCTTAAGTGAATAACTTAGAATAAGATGTATGTTGAAATCGTTCAATTTACAACTGATAATTTACACCATGAACTGATTTAAGCTGGTATACAATTTAAAGTTAGTAAATACTAGAAAATAACACCTTTACATATCTCGACAGCATCATCGACAACCAAGGTGGATCCGATGCAGATGTGAGGGTGCGGATTGGCAAAGCAAGGGCTGCATTTCTACAGTTGAAAAATATCTGGAACTCCAAACAACTTTCAATCAACACCACAATCAGGATTTTCAATACAAATGTGAAGACAGTTCTAATGTATGGAGCGGAAACTTGGAGAACTACCAAAGCCATCATCCAGTAGATACAAGTGTTCATTAACAGTTGTCTACGCAAAATACTTCGGATCCGTCGGCAAGACACCATCAGCAACAACGAACTGTGGGAGAGAACAAACCAGATTCGAGTGGAGGAGTAAGTCAAGGAGAAGCAGTGGAAATGGATGGGACACACACTACGAGAGGCACCTAACCGCGTCACGAGACAAGCCCTCAAATGGAACCCACAATGCAAAAGGAAAAGAGGAAGGCCAAGGAACACCTTACAGTAGGTGTTATGATACTTATTTGATATCCAAACGCCTTCTCTCATAACTTCATCATCAAATCTGGAAAACCTCAATCGAGTATATTGGCAAGCACCACTGTGAATATTCATACTGAAATAAAACATCCGTTCTCTGGTCCTTTTAACTTGAATCGTTTCTAGATGAAGTCTATTCGTGAACAACCTCTACAAATACAGTATTCTACTGTTAGATAAAATTTCAGTTTAGTAATCAAACAAGATGATATTAATCTAATGTTAAGTAGTGTCTATTGTTATATATTTTTATTTGGAAATATACACTGTATGAAAAGGCTGTAAACTATACAAAACTGCCTAATTATCACTTTACTCTGGAATTTATGAGTTATTCTATTAAAATGTTTTAGTTTTACAGTGTCATTTAAATAGTGTTCGGCTTAAAAAACAATTTTGACGTTCATTTACTCTTTAGTGATTAATGAAATAAGGCTATTACATCACACAGAAATGTAATTAATCATGCATAGAGTCTGTTGAATTTGTGTGTGCGTCATTTATGGATTGTGTTATATAAATAAAGGTTTTTGCAAAAAATAGAAAGTTATGCTCTTACCTAAAAGATTCGAGAGATTTTCTTTTAGAAGTTAGTTGAATTGTAAACTGTTTTTGCCAGAATTACCAGAGAACCGATTGTTTTCTTCACCAAACACTGAATCACTGAATCCAGGAAACTGAAAATTGACATAATTAATATTTTGATTATACCTGAAAACTTTATCAAACATTTTAAGTTAAATCATTATGGAATTTTATCATATCGAATAAACATAGAGAATTTTGAATATGACTAAAATTTTGCTTTGACTGTGTTAAAAAAAGTTGAACATTGTTGTTTTTCTATAGTAGTAGTGGTAGTAGTTGGAGTAGTGATTGGGACATGTGTTACGAATTTCCAACTACTGACTGCCTCGACGAGCTATGTTTTGTGGTGTAAGAGTAGGTTGTCAGAGAGCCAAGGACAACCAGACTAAAAGATGGCACGAATCCATGAAGTGACTGACAAATGGACTGAGTCATGTTGGTAGATTTAGGCTACCTTGTTGGGGTCCACGAGACGAAAGTTACCGATGGTTAGAGACCTTGAACAACATGGCTCAAAATCGTTTACGATGGTGCAGGTGCATCCACTCTTTGTGTTCTCTTAAATTCTAACCTGAATTTTTCATTGACTCGATCTTTCTCTTTCTAAAGTTATCTCACTGAATTATAATTCTCGAATAATATCTTCCATCCCTAATCTTTTCCATTACTGTTAAAACTTCTACTATTGCTACCACTATTCGATTGAACTGATATTTACGTCTTTGTGTTAATGCGTTATAGCAACCTGAACTGATGTACATACGTACGAAGTTCTACCTTATAAATGACTGACTGACTGGATCGCAGTAGTCAGACTAGTAGTAGTAGTAGCTGTTAAACACTTGTATAATGATAAAAAGGACTCGGAGTTTAGTATTTAATCCAAAGGCCTATATCTTGCTCTATCCAGATGTGTATAGAACTTCTAGTAGTTGAGTGTAGACTTAATTTTGTGATCTAATATTCAACATCGGAGTTCTCTGGTCTTTCTTAGTCTTTTGATCTAAGTCTCTGGTATATATGATCGCTGTTTTAACAGTTTTGTAAATATTATATGAAGCTACACTGAAATGGACGTCGTGTCAACTATTGACTAGATACTTCTATACTTTCTCTCGAACGTTTTTTTACTTTTATGCTAAAGCACAGGTGAGAACAGAAAAGGTAAACATGAGGGCCATCGTAAAATGGTTTTATGTTAATGACATAACTCAGTAAACAACACCATAATCATAAGTGATAGAATATTTTATGAAAGAGAACAATTCTTTCCAAAGCGAAAAAATAAGTAGCTTAGATACTATTCTGGATATATATAAGCGCCAAATAGTCTCATCAAATTGCTTCAGATAGGCTTACTTAATATGAAAGTGAAGTTCTATTAAATTACAACAAATTAACAATGAAATAAATTTCACGTTTTTTAGAATCTGAGCCAGATTTTGATGAATCAGAAAAAAAACCAGGCATTTATTATATCCTGGATAATGATGTGTGCAGTATTTATGGCGAAAATAAACATGTCTTTGTCCCAAATTAATTGCTTTATTCAAACTAAAGAAGGGAAACCAATACTTTGGCTGCCGCCCTGACACGATGGTCGGGCTTGACTATCTTGACAACTTAACCGGGCTATACTGGCTAGAAAAAATTTTCCTTTAGGTTTTATTCATTCGAGGCAGGTTGATTGGAGAACACTATGACTAAAGGCATTAACTCAACGTTTAAGGGCAAAGTCATACTGGTGACTGTGGAGAGATGTGAATGCAATAAGCCATTAATCTTTGAAAACTAGAATCTGCAACAATGCTGCCTTCTCACAATGGAAATAAGGGGCTGGAAAGGTCGACCCTAATGACGCTATAATTTACCTTACCGCATGGACTCCCAACTCCTGCATTAAGGCCTCTTGATAAGCGGAGCTAACACTTCACAAACTTCCTATGATTAGGCCATAACTGATCATGCTCGAGTAGTTATCATTCGGACTCTGCTGTTATGCTTCTTGGTCACCAAGATCAACGCTAATCCATCTTCTTTTTCAAGTCCCCTCGAAAATAGATATTCACATGGTGTGTACAGTCGAGAAGTGACTACCACCCGTATAATTCTTAATGTAAAGGCGATTCTTTTTACATACGTTAAACTGTGGAAAAACCATTTCGGATATATGAAATTTCATCTAATCCCGACAGGTGGTTTCCGAAAAAGAATGTTTCAAGTTTGAGAAAATTACTGTTAAGGTCATCAACAGCCTTATGTAAAAAGTCATCTGTTTATATTTTATGCGGTTAATGAATTTGAAGATCTTGAGCTTAATAAAAGCTGTCACGTTATTTAAAAAAGTGTAAATTTTTATAAACCTCTTGATATATAACTTTAAAATGTAATAATGTGAAAGAAAATAAAATCTGGTTACATATGTGATTAGAACTTACAAGTAAGTTTAGATCATATTTTACAACTTCTTGAATTAATACATCGGCCAAAGTTTTTACATCTATACTGAATCTTAAATTAGCTTCAGTTGAATCTTTCACTTGAACGAGTGTTTGAAAGATGCTTGTTTGTTTTTTAATTGTACGAGCTATTACAGCAGCTTTTTCACTGCATAGAATCAAACTTTTCAATAATTGAACACACAGTGGATCAGTTTTATTCATTTAGTATGTTATTCTGATTAACATTCCAGATGAAGAAAATAGGTCTGTAAATGTTAGTAAAATATGTTTTTTAACGGAAAACCTTTAGTTATTCGTAAAGGTTGTTTAAGTTAGTTGCTGAATATTGTCATAGTTTGAACCTGAAATTAGAGTGGGAAATTCATTTATATCATTTGGGTAATGAATTATCTAACCAAATGAAAATACAGTTTCACTCATTTCCATTGATAGTGACCATATAGCAACATGCTGTGTTGGCTATGAAAAGATTTAATCGAGTTTATGGATGCAAATCACCATATCTTTGAGTACTGAATGACTTAATATGAAATACTAAACTGGTATTAAACACTATATGCTGACATTTTCAGTTATAGTGATGAAAGCTAACTAACATAACATTGTACTTAATTGATTTAATTACATAATGACATTATTTACAGCGTAGTGTTCTTGCATCTACAAATTTACGGGTTCTATGTAAATCCGCAACTCAAATATGATTATTATTTTCTTTTCTGTTCAATTAATCTGGGTAATAATGAGGTATATGATGCTTCATACTATAAACTTGATGTCAGCCTAGCTTAAATCAACGTTTATATATTGGAAGCGCTATTATTTATAAGTTGGATGATAACAGTCACCAAACTGAAAAAGCTGACAGTTTATTTTCGCTTTGAAGTGTCTGATAGAGCTTGCTGCCCCATTCCTTAGTAAAAACTTAGAAGCTTCAGAAAAATATGATGGTTATTTTTTCTATATTATATATAGTAAATATTCCAATTAACCATTACATTTTTTGATTATTACTTTAACAATTAGTTACTATACTCACATTTTCAGACCATATCGCGAAATTAGGCGGAAAATATAAAAAAGCCTCCTAAAAAGTTAATGCTTGTTTCATTCATTCAAAAGATCCAATATCCAATATCCAATATCTTTTTCACGAGCTAGTGTAAACCAATTTGATTTCTTCGCGCTCGATTCTTGTTATTTCGGTACGGTTACAGGTGTTCGGTAATGTCCAATGGATGGAGGTCTAGCCACTCGACTGTCTAATTCTAGTCAGTTGGCAGTTGGTTGTGAGTTTGTATGTCTCGGGATTTGAATGAAACGTTTGTTTCAGGGCAGTAGGGTTTCTGGATACTAGCAGCCGTCACTTTACCAAACCGGAGATCAGTTAGTTGCAATGTGGAGAGTAATAAGGGTAATTAGGATAAAATTCTAACGACAATATGAATAAATTTTCAGAACTGAGTAATATATAGATGAATTTAGTTTATTAATTGGTAGTGAAGATTGTGAGAGAGGACCGAAGTGTAAGCAAGGGAGAGGAATAGGCGAGTTAAATTAATTAAGTGATCTGAGGAGATGGCAATGGTAACAACTAGCAGGTCTCAAGATATGCATCAGGCACAGCTTGTCCAAGAGGGAGATGATAGTCCGCATGTGAGTACGTGATTATCCGAAATCTAATATCTCTTACCTGAGCTATTATAAAGTAGTTGATTTCTTTGCGCTTGATTCTTGTCCTTTCGGTACGTTTGCACGTGTTTTATGGTGTCCAATGGATGAGGCTCTGACCACTCGACTCTCTGATTCTAGTCAGTAGGCAGTAGTTTGTGAGTTTGTAAGTCCCGTGATTTGAATGAATACTTTTGTTTCAGGGTAGTAGGGTTTCTGGATACTAGCAGCTATAACATTACCAGGCCGGATGTCATTTAGTTGCGATTTAGGGAAAAATAAGAAGAGCTGTCCACTGAGGGGGAGTTGTGGTCACCTCGGTAGGGAGAGCATTCCAAGTTGCAATGACTTTTAATGAGAGAAAGTTTGCACGAACCTGAGTGTTCACTCTTTGATGTTCAATTTTTCAAGGATTACTTCGAGGGAAGTAATTGTGTACATCGATAAGATGCTCACGTTGGGATGATTTGGCGTGCTTAATATGTTGTACGCCATAATCAAATCACCTCTTATTCTCCTGTAATTTAGGGGACATAGTCCAAAATGCTGGACTTTATCTTTGTAAGTTTCACTTTTCAACCCTATCACCCATCTCGTTGCTCTTCTCTGCACTGGATCCAAGAGATTTAAGTCTCTTTTAGGGAGAGACACCTAGTGAACCACAAGGTGTGGTTTTGCATATGTCTTAAACAGTGGTAAGAATAATTCTGGAGTGATAGACATTAGTTGCCTTCGCATAAAGTGAAGAGTTGCATTTGCCTTGGCTGCGTTCTAACTGGTTTGAAGGCTTTCAAGGGTTATCAAACCAAGATCGCGCTCTGAGGAGACACCAGGGTGTAGACTTCGATTGAGGGTGTAAATCGTTTGCGTCGCGTGGGACAGAATGTAAATGACTTGACTTTTCGGCTGGTTTTGTTTTAAACCGTTTTTCCTATCCCTCAATGGATGTAAGGTCCTTTTGTAGCACATTCGAATCCTGTTTGCTTCTAATAAACCTCAAGATCTTTCCATGGTCTGAGTAGATAAATACCACCGAGCTAACTAAGTCTAACAGATAGTTGATGAATATCGCTAACAGAAGTGAACCTAAGATGGTCCCATGTGGATACTCGCCAGCTCTCGTGCATTCTATTTACTTTGGTATAAAACTTTCTCTTCTTCAGGCAGTTTCTGAGCCAAGAAACGAGTGGGTCAGTGAAGCTCATTTCCACAACATTTGTGATTAGGCGTGCGTGGGGTACTGTGTCAAAGGCTTTTGCAAATTCGAGAAATATTACGTGCACTGGTATTTTACGGTCCAAACAGGAGGTCCAACTGTTCCATACAATGAGTAGATTAGATGCCCACCACCTGCCTTTACGAAACCCGTGTTGAGCTTCATGGAGTATTTTATTCTTATCCATGTAATCCCTCATTTGTTCATCCACCAGCCCTTCCGTAACCTTTGATAGTATTGGCAGTAATGCGACTGGTCTGTAACAGGCTGTGTCCTTTCTGTCTCCTCCTTTGAAGAATGGAGAGAGTAGCTTGTTTCCATTCAGCTGGAAGTTAGTGTGACTCCACCGAATGCCTGAACAGGTCACATATCGGTGAACAGAGGACTTCTGCACATTGTTTCAAGACTATCGGGCGACCTTTGTCACAACCTGGTGACTTACCTGAGCCTAAGGATTTTAGTTTCGTTAATACTAAGTGAGGACTGATACGGATATTCCCCAAGCCGTCAGCTGACACCGGGTTTGCGCAGTATTCTGAATATATGGATGCCTGCGGAGACGAGCAACGAAATGGGTGATAGGGTTGAAAAATAAACCCTGCGACGATAGACTCCAGCTCTAGGGATTATTCCCACTGAGCTACAGGAGAATCAGAGGTGACCTGATTATGGCGTACACCATATTAAACACGCCAAATCATCCCAATGTGAGCATCTTACCCATGCATCACCACCACTCCCCTCAAGGCAATCCTAGAAAAATTGAACATCAAAGAGTGAACACTCGGGTTCGTGCAAACTTTCTCTCATTAAAAGTCATTGCAACTTGGAATGCTCTCCCTACCGAGGTGACCACAACTCCCCCTCAGTGGACAGCTTTAAGAAGAGACTTGATCATCACGTACTCACATACGGACTATCATCTCCTTCTTGGATAAGCTGTGCCTGATGCATATCTTGAGACCTGCTAGTTGTTACCATTGCCGTCTCCTGAGATCACTCAATTAATCTATATCGCCTATTATCTCTGTTTCCTCTCCCTTGCTTACAATTCGGTCCTCTCTCACAATCTTCACTACCAATTAGTAAACTAAATTCATCTATATATTACTCAGTTCTGAAAATTTATTCATATTGTCGTTAGAATTTTATCCTAATTACCCTTATTACTCTCCACATTGCAACTAACTGATCTCCGGTTTGGTAATGTGACGGCTGCTAGTATCCAGAAACCCTACTGCCCTGAAACAAACGTTTCATTCAAATCCCGAGACATACAAACTCACAACCAACTGCCAACTGACTAGAATTAAACACTCAAGTGGCTAGACCTCCATCCATCGGACATTACCGAACACCTGCAACCGTACCGAAAGAACAAGAATCGAGCGTGAAGAAATCAAATTAGTTTACACTAGCTCGTGTAAAAGATATTGGATATTGGACATTGAATTGATCGTTAAAGTTTGTGCAAAAGATCTCAACTATCTCTAGGTTGGTGAGGTCTTCCCCATTCGGTCCTTTGAGAGAACACAAACCCTGATTCGTAGGTTTTCATTTGGACATGAACCTAAACAGATGCTTAGTGTTTGCCGGTATTTTGGTAGCTAGTTTCAACTGAAAGCGTCCACTTTGGTAATGCATCTGTTTCTCAGTACCATATAAGAACTGTGATCGGAATCCTTCAAGGAGAGCTTCCACTTGTGCTAGTCGCTCCTCTTCGCCTGTAGCAAGTGCTTAGTGCCAGACCTAATCCATGTTCTATTTCCGGGTGTGTGGTGTGAGTGGGGCATTTTGTCTTAGACAACACTGTGGATGATGTCTCTCACAGTTTGCCAGTGAGAATCTACTATAAGTCTCAAAGGCCATGGGGCATTTAGAAGGTCCTATCTCATGTGCGTGTAATTTGCTCTAGTGTAGCAAAGATAGGCCTCTTTTTCATGAATGTTTAGTTTATCACCATATTAAACATGTCTGTGCAATAGTTACTACTTCCTATTGGTGTATGGACGTGAACATCCTCGACCAGAAGCTGATCATTTGTTAAAAAATAATCCAGCTTTGAAGATTTTCCCTCCATAGTCCATCTAGTGGCACTACATACATGCTCAATAAGCCCAGAGCTTCCAAAGGCTGCGCCATGTCGTCTTTGGAACCGACCAGTGGGAGTTGTACCCTGATTTCTGAGATTTAGAGATGTGGGGTTTAAATCTCCAGATAAGAGTATTTGACCGAAGACAAGGAGTGGCAGTTGCAGTATTACCTCAGTCAGTTTATCTTTCTGGGCCCTAGTACCTGAGGGAGGCCGTTAAATCCTTCCAACCAGGTATTTCGTGCCAGTTTTCTGGAAACAACACCTATATGATTCAGTCACATCGATTAGTTGGGTATCGTATAGCTTCTTGGCTTTTAAATTGCTGTTTATATATTTAACCACTCCCCCTCCTGTCTAGTGTACCCTATCGATTAGGAAGAGTGCTATGCCATGCAGGCTCACTTCGCCGTTTGCACTGTCAGAGGATAGCCACGTTCCAGTTAGGATTATGATCATCAGATCCATTTGAAAGCACATATTTCTGATTTCTAACAGCTTACCCCTTAGTCCTTTTACATCGCTATTGAGACACTTGGCTATTTGTCTGATCACCTGGTGCACCTATGCATTAACAGCGGTTGCTGGATTCTAAAACAAGTTTCAAAACGAGTTGACCAGTTCCGTAGGTACTTGCCTCTGCAGGTTTCTAGCCTGTGCGGTGCGTTCAATCAGTGAGACTATTAACTTCTTGTCTTGTGCGGGGGTTGTTGGTCTAGGTCGACTTTGTGCTTTTATTATGGTCATCCTGCTGTTTTCTCACAGATCTAGGTTGACTTTCGCAACACCTAATGTGACTAGAGAGGTCGTACTTTGAGCTATACCATGCCTGAAGCGCCTCAGTTAGAAGTTCCTGATTCCTGAATTCCAAAGCCATCAGACGTGGTGGCTTAATAGACGTTGAGTGTGGCGGGTTAGGTAGCCGAGAAATGAAAATTGCCATCGTTGTGTGGAGGCTCAGGCTACGTGATAGCCATCGCCACCGTTGCACTTCAAGCACGTGAACTTCATCCAGGCTACCACTATCCAGTTCGGGCACGCCGTGAACTACCATACGGGTCTGCTCTTGGGTGCCTGGTGA